CATGATTGTGCATTTTAAACATGACATAAACTGCTTTGCGATCAGTCTTAAAAGAAAAGAAGACCATTTTTGCAGTCTTCCAACCACTAAGAAAAGAAAATACCTGGGAATCAGCATGGTCCATCGTCCGAATGCATAATGCAGAGGCGACGTTCCACAGACGGACGGTGTGGTCATAACTGCCAGAAGCCAACACTACGTCTTCTTCAGTTCCTTCCGCCATACAAACAAATCACAAATCGCAATGAAAAAGATCCACATAAGAGCTCATCCCATTGGAAGCTCGTTCTGTTAGCCCAGCAGTAACAGTCAAGGATGATACATTGAAATTAAACACGCCAACTTTCTACTTCGGAGTATCTTTTTCATCCTCAAGCTTTTGATTATCTACAACAACGAAACTATGTTAATTTCTTACTCAGTGAATATTTTCGGTAAATTACTACCATTGACGTGTGGTGGACACGAAGCAGAAGGTGTTTATAAGTGACAATCATAATTCCACAATTTGAACAATGCAACTACAAATTTGCAAATAGGCATACAAATAAAATATTCACAACACATAAGTAAGACTCAAAATCTTGAGTTCCAAGTTTAGTTAATCTGCAACATGCTACTAATGTTTAGATAGTACTGACTTTCAGTCAAAAATGAGGTGAATTATGGTCACTTGCAGCAGCACGTATCAGACAGCATAATCTTATATTTCGCATGTACCGGCATGAACAACACAAGAATGTCATTCCCTAATCGTCTGTTGGCAGGTTACACCGAAGCACGGTTGGGTTAATTTCTTTCTCGTAAGATTTAACAGCCACACGATGCATGGGAGCCAATACTGGAACATCTAAAGTGCACACCAAAAATTCATGTGGTGCGAATACTAACATCCGGGAGAGCCTTGGTGTACAGTCTTTGCTTCACCAGACTATGAAGTCAAAGCTGTGATTGTCTGGGCACATGCTGCGAATGCTTCTTGAAAGGAAGGATAAGCAACCGTTTTTTTTTTTTGCGAAACAGACTGGCAGAAGGCCCAGGGGACGGCACAGATTAACCTGGTGCAAATATGTGGAAGCAGCCTGTCCCAGACTCGTTGTCTTCTGCTAAGACTCTGGCACAGGATCGGGAATGCTGGAAGCTCTCTGAAGTGTCTGTCTCCGCGACCGGAATGCAGAAGCGGCCACGCAAGATGAATGGATGATGAATACTAATGAATAATGAAACATCTCCAGCATCCACAAAAACTCGACTGTCCACTCATGACAAATTTAGATTGATTTGGTAACTCTGCATTGAGAGTGTAAAGAAGATGCAACTGCAGATATTTCACATAAATAAATAAAGTAAAATGAACGTCAAATACATCCAAAAAAACTATTTCAGATACTTTCTTCGCCGTGTTTCGCA